AGTATGTATGCTAAAAAGTCCCACTGGGTGTGCCAAATTGTTCACCCGTTTTGTGTTTGTTCCTGTGATAGGGTAAAGTTCCCCATTGCCTTGAAATCCATTGACTGACCAACAAGTCAACTTTCCTTGGTGTGCGAGCGTGTCACTGCTAGCAATAAAAATTCTAGCATATTTCTTGAAAATAGATTACTTGCGCCCCAAATTACTAATTTCTAAACAAACGATTGTGAATTTGGGTGAGGAATATCTCCCAAGTAAGTTCTTTTCCTGCCTCAGACTGGTGAGGACTTCACAATTTATCTTAGTATAAAGTTGGTCGTTTTGGCCAGAATAAATGGTAATAAAAGTGAACTGTTTTTAGATAGAACTGCCTTTTACAAGACTTGGAAGGGAGAAATTAATTCTAGGAAGACAAAAAGAAGGTTGGAACTCTATTTCTGCCTAGATAGAAATCTCTAATCTGGGCTGGACTGAATATGCCTATGTTGGACTGGACTGTTAACAACTTCAACTTGCTCAGCTTCAGCTGTAAATCGATACCAAAGTTTAATTTTGGCAGAGCTTTAATCTACTTCAAGCTTTGGGAGGCTTTTGAGCGGGCAGAACTGCAGCTTCTTAAGTCTGAAAGGGCAGAAGTGGCTGGTCTTGAGGACTTAATGAGCTGGAACTGCACTGTAAAATTTGTTGAGGTTTTCATAATTGTGAAAACTCAAACTCTGCTTGTTTTGGCTTTTGCTGAACCAAATTTGTAACGAGAGGAATCTTGTTTTGAATGACTTATTTCTCTAAGTCTGAACTTGGAAGTTCTGACCTAAAGCTGATTTCTCTTGTAGCTCAAGTGAGTTTTTGATTGATTTTTTTGGTTGTTTGTTTGATTGATGAATTGAGTGTGTTCTTTGCTATGTTCACCCTTTCCTATATTTATAAGAAGTGCTTTCTGGAGTAGGATAATTCTTTTAATAATGGGAGGCAAAATTTCTCAAAAGATCTTTCATTTTTTAAATGCAAGGAAAGAGGGGTTTTATCAATTCTGGTAGATAAGCTCTCAGTAGTCATTTCTCATGGCTATCACTTCCCTGTTTTTCTTGAAAGAAAACCTAATTCCTTTTTTCAATTTTAACTGCCCCTCGTGAGAGCTCAAGCTGTGATGGTTAGTTTGATCTTCCAGTTGAACAACTCCCTGTTTTCCTGCTTATCTCTTGGATACAGTCTGCTTATCTCTTGAAAATAGTGCCTTTCTTATGAGCAGAAAATATCTCTGAATATATATATAAAGGGATTTTTGATCTTCTGGTGGCAGAGTTTCAGAGAAGTCTCTTCCTAGTTGCCTGCTTTTATCAACTCTTTATCAATTTAGTTGAAATTGTTGACTTTTCAAAGTTTATTTCAGATTAGTCACATGGGCCCCTGCAGAAAAGAGCTGTCGATTTGTCCCTGGGCCTTTTGAGAGAAATGGTAGATTTTGTAGACTGTGCCCAATCTGATTTATAATCGCGATTTGACTTGGCATTTTTTTACTTTTCTACCATTTTCTGAAAAAGACGTGGGTTGGGCTTGCTCCTGTTCTGATATTTGAAGCCCATTTTTCTATTCCTTTTGTTTCGTGGGTTTTTGAGAAGTGGGTCAGCGTGTATTTGCTTTTGGCCCAAATAGTGTTCTTCGTTTCATTACATTTCACCTTTAAGCTTTATTTCCATCCACTCCACATCATTTGGTTGCTCACATAAAGCCTTGACTCTGAGGTAGTGAAAGAACCTAGGCTGTGAGAAGGTTCCTTACTCGGCACAACAATCGTTTGATTAAAGTTAGATTTCGGACGCATCATCTACTTACATTCCATTCAAGCTTAATTCGTGACTTGGTGGTGGCACGCCCCGCACTCAATTAAAGAATGACCAAAAACTCCTTCAATCAACCTACCCGGCCGAAAAGAGGGAAACACAAATATAATTCTACTCCCAATATTCAGTTGTACTTTTCATATTCTAATTATTTTATTTTTATAGCACAACTTATTTTCTAAGCACCTCAAAAAATATCAACATCTCACACAAGACTACCTCACATTTAAAAAGGAATTTTTTTTTTTTGGCATGGGCTGTAGCCCATACAGCCCATTAGCTGCATTATTCATCCCTGCTAATACTCGTACTCATACCAGGAGGGGTCATTATATAATTTTGTTTACCAATGGAGTCAGGAATGTAATATTTGAAAGCTAACTTTGAATCAAAACTTATAGGGTTCTGACAAAAAAAGAAAAAGAAATAGGGTTTAGGGTTTTATGTTATTTAACTTCTGCATACCGCCATTTGAAGAGGTGAAGAACAAAAGAAGTCCAGATTAACGAAAAGAAGGATTCAACTCACCTGGGTATGTTTGCACCACTCTTTTGCTTGTCCTCATACTCGATATTTGATAAGACATTAAATCTTCTTCTATCTATTCTAAAGGTTTTTTAGAGTTTATTCTTTCATAATCAGACCCATTTAGCGAATTCCAAACCAAAACTACCATTTTGGTGGCTCACCGAAATGTTGCTCCTGATAAGCTTTAGGCTAAGCTCTGTTCTCATAGTGTAGAATGATTTTGCTTAAAGTTGTACCTTTTGGGTTTTGATTGGAGAACCTTTTCCCTTTCTTTCTTCGAGATGTTTCTGATGTTGCCATGATAAACATTTTGTTTTTGCATCGATTTTGCAATTGTTTCATAATTAGTTTCACATCTACATTATTAATGCTTGACTAATGATGGAATTCGTGGTGCTTTGGATTATTTAACCTGGTGGAACATCGAATGGGAACGGATTTGGAGTTCGGTAATTTCTGTGGTACAAAATTGGAAGTGGCAGTACGATATTACGGATCACAATTTATGTATTATATTAATTCAGAACAATGTATTGTATTGAAACGACGTACTGTATTAATTCAGAATGATGTATTAGTACAATTAACACAAATTCATTTATTAATATATCATATATTGCACATATATTAATATATCATGTATTAATGTATCATGTATCAATATATAACTTCACAACAATTTATATATTAAAGTATCATATCTTGCACTTATGTAATGCGTTAATGATTAGATTGTATCATTATATCGGAACATGTACCATATATATATGAATGGACTAGTGGACAATGATTAGATGAATCATCCTACACATCTAATCATTCTATATATCGGAACACCTCTGTTGGATGGGGAACTCCTTTGTTTTCAGAAGCAGATGCTACTGCAGCTGTCTTTTTTTAAATCTCCTGGATAACGACATAGTTTTAGCCTAGGCAATTTTTTTAAAATTACCTGGCCAAAATGATACCATTTTGAACCAAGTCATTTATAGAGAAAAAAAGGGTTTTCCTTCAGCTTTTCCCCCCCAACCTCTCAAAGTCCACTCGATAATCACCCCAAAAAAAACCCCCAATTTCTAGCAGGTGGTGCCGCCGAGATGTTGCCGCTTCCGTCGTAGTTATATTTTTAATTTAATTACTTGTATGATGTATGAAATCAAATTTATAATTACATGTTGGATTAAATTTATGGTATACATGTATTAGTTTGATTTATTGGATGAAGTTTTTACTGATTTGCTGATTAGGTGGTTATATGGGTCTTTGTTTTGGTTAGTCGGCATAAATTTGGTTTGAAATTTTAAAGATAATGCTAGGTTTACAAAAGGCAAACCTAGCGTTTTCCTTTTACAAATTGAAATAACTCAAAAGCATAAATAGAGAGGAGAGAACATTTAGGCTAGGACCCCACTGCGTCCGTGTTGGTGCCCCATCAGTTGCAGCATTACTTGTAAAGATAAAGGTAACTAAATAAAATAAAACTCTAGTCGATATCCGTTAGCATGCAGGCACGTGCATGTTCTGAGATTGTGTGTGAAAAGAGAAGTAAAGCTAGAGGGGTGGGTTTCATTAACCACCAAGAGGGTTCTTGTTTAAAATACCACCAATAGAATATGATAAACAAGTAACATACAAAGCAAGGAGATGAGCTTGCAATGCTAGTACACCGTCTTATCTCAAACTAGAAAAGTAGCCTTCCACTATATAATGTTGGCTTAAAGGCAGTACATGAATATAGTAATTAAAAGGCGAAATATGCTATTCAAATCACTGGACCAAAAGGCAAACATGGGATCTAGTTGGTACATTTCTGCTTGCCACCAAGCTCTCTTGGGACCCTTCTCTCTTTATGTCAATTTATATGTATACTTCCACAAATAAATATATATATATATAGTCTTCTTCAACTTTACCAATATGTATGTACATGTTTACTTTCTGACTTAGACTTCTGTAGCTCTCTCTCTCTCTCTCTCTCTCTGAGCTTAGCTTTCTCTATGGAGAAAAGCAGATTCTCTTGATGAGAGAGAGAGAGAGAGAGAGAGAGTTAAAAAGTTGTTTTTCTTTAGGTAAATGATAATAAATTAACAAGTACCTAATTTTAGATTCTTTAGGGTTTGGACTAGAACTATAATTCATAAGCATGACGATTAAGTGACATCCAAGCCTAATCATCATTACATGTATTATTTCTGAAGTAAATTTATCAGAAATGTCAAATCGGTCGGCTGATACATAATTTTGATATAAACAAAAGAGGATCAATCACAAACCAATATGATAAACCATAAATTTATTTTGGTCAACATCGGTTTACTAATTATTCAAATACGAAAAGGGTTTGCTTCTTTGTGAACAAACGAACCAACAAATACAATGGAAATGAAACGAATTATATGCTTCAATATCCAGCAAATGCATAACAGAGAGAGAATCCCACTCACACTCAGCACTCAGGGATATGGAAGAAGGAAGCAAGCAATATCCAAAAGGAAATTTACACCATCCAGTATGGAACTCAAAAAGAGGACAAGAACAACAAAATAAAACCAACAAAGAAACGAACACAAACTCCCAAGCACAAAGCATAAGAAAAGTAAGACATTATGAAGATGGAAAAGAAAAAGAAAAGGCATATGCATGATATAGTAAGAAAATTAAATATTGAAGAAAAAGGGGGACTCCATATACTATGCGATCTTCAAATTCCCTTCACTCTGAATGTAGACTTAGCAATAATGGTGGCTAATTAGAAGGTTTCCATATGGAAGCCCATACTACAGGTTCCTCTTTCCATGTTAAATAGACTCCTGTTTGATCAATATCTTCTCCTTGTGGTGGTAGTACCAGCGCCCAGCCGGCTCGATACCTCTTTAGCAATGCTTTGACATCATCCACAACGTCGTCGCTAAACCCAAATGGCGAAAATGCCTCCTTCAGCCTCTCAGACCATTGGCTTCCTCTCTCCCTTCTCTCACATTCCCCACCACCATTTTTGTCATCATGATCATGGTGATCGCAACCCAAAACCCTAACTATGCTTCTTGAGCACTCCCTTTCTAGCATCAACCTTTCATTGCTGGTTGGGACAAAGCTTTCCTCTAGCATGTCAAAGTATAATGTGTAAAACCTAAGGCACTCTTCAAAGCACTTGACAAAGTCATGGTTTACTGATGAGCTGAAAAGATCTGCTTCTTCTTCAACAACCGTCACAACTCGAGGCCTTAGCGATTGGAACATTCGGATCACAGCCCCTCTTTCTTCAACTTCAATTCTTCTTAAGGCCCCAATGCAGTTCACAGCAATAGCCTCATCCTCCTGAACACCTAGATCCTCTTTTGTGAGCTCTCCCAAATTATTTAGCCCGCTGATCACATTAATCTCAAAGGGAACTCCCATTAACCTAGCAAACTTCTCCATTCTTTGGCCTATTTCCTTCATCACCGACTTGACTATGTTCGCTGTTACCACGACCGTGAGCTTTAAATGCGGCGTCTCATCGTTTCTTGTGGCCAAAGATTCTAGCAAAGTAGGCCATTGGGTGCAAAGGGTATTGCTTATATCAATTATGTGAAGTTTGGTCTCTCCATCCAAGGCTTCTAATATAGCACCGTTTGAAGCCACATGGCCAAAAGTCGTCCATGGGCTTACCTCTTGGAACTTTAGTATTAACTTCCTGGCTGAATCAAAGGAGTGGCTCTTTTCAGCTACAGAGGTTAGGGTTTTGTAGCATCGGAGACCGGAGTCTGTGGCCTTGCAAAAGAGAGCTTGCAGAAAATAAGAGGCTAGCTTCTGCTCACAATCCCCATAAGGAGAAGCCAGCTCATTCAACATCCATAGAAGGTGATTGATTTTAGAAGAGTCTTTCTCTGAGACTGCCCTTGCACACTCCATGAGAAGCCTAGATGCCCATTTCGTGCCGGCCGGGCAAGGCTCGCTGGACCCCGATGAACGGCTTGTTGATGTGTGACTATTCTGGGGCTGGTTGGTGCTTTGCATGTCTATGGCTGCCAGACCATTGATCTTGATCTGGTTGGAGTACTGCTGCAGAAAGTTTGCTTCTTTATTGGTAGAGAAAAGAGAGATGTCCATGGCTTACTTTAATTACTTTCGAAGCAGCAAAGCCCCTTTGGTGCTAAGACTGTGAACCACCTAATTTGCAGACCTCTCTACCTCTATCTCATCTGAACTCAGAATTGGCCAGGATATAGAAAGCAATACTATTATATTACAAGTCTTTTTCATCCTAATTAATTAATTATTTAATTAATTTAATTATTATATGTGGCTTGTCTTCGACAAGTATATTTTAAAATCTGAGAGTATACATAATTTTTAAGTTATTGGGCCATATTTTTAGCAGCAATAGTAACAATAGGCAAGTACATGACATATGAAATTTGAACAAACTATACATGCCCATCTGAAGAATAGACAACCATATATAATGCTTGGTATAAAAAGGTTAAACACCTGGCAAGTATCAGGTTCAAAATGGGGACTTAGTTCAAATGGCACAACTCTTTTTTGACTACGCATGGCGGCTGCAAATGACCACAGCAATAAAACTTGAAATTAAAAGCTCATAATGATTTTTTTTTTCACAAAGCGATATTCTAATTACTTTACTGTACGTGTATGGGGAGGGACGGATTGAATTAGGATGCAAAGGGGCGGTTGTGTTACTTTGGCCAATAGGCTTAACTTACATCTGGACAAATGTCTATTAATTAGCTTGAGTGATAACGATACGAAAACTATTTTGATAGGGTTATTATTCAATTAAGTCAGGTTAGACATACACTTCTCTGTCAATACCCGTGTCTTTGTTAAAAATGGAAATTAAAATATGATAAGGTAGATGTCATCATAAATATACAATAATAATCATTGACATGGAAGTTTTGGACAGGAATAAAACACACTTGTTCCCCTAATTAAATATGTGTGTAGAATCCTTATATTGCCCAGAAGCAACTGGATCAAGTTAAGGGAAAGACAACAAACATCACATTTTCTTCTACTCTATCAAACAAAGAGATGATGATAAAGGCTATGTCACATGAAATCAACAGTATTATAAATGCGGCTAAGTTTTATCAGATTTTGCCAAACTTTGATATCAGATTTTCTTTTTCTTCTTTTTTTGAGAATATATACGTACCATCCCTTTTTAGTTTGGTGTAGCTTCTATGACGATTAATTTTATAATCTATGCATATTCAAATTATGATGCATTGCAATGAAAGTCTAAAATTGATCACAACAAGAACTCGTTAGAAAACTCAGGCATGTGCCTGCGACACTCAAGATCGTGCCGAAAGTCTAAGTTGAGTCCAAAATTGAAAACTAATAGCATCTTCATACCATTCCAGGCTTCCAGGTGAACATGATTGAACTCCCACACGCTTACATGATTTCTAGCTTTTTACATTTCCTTGCTTCTTTTTTTGAACTGCCCACATTTTTCACAATCTTTCCATTTTCCAATAACACATTTCTCACGTCCTTCCGGCATCCCTGCAAACTGAAAATCAAGCAAATTAGAAACTGTTTAGTCAATTGATTATCCTCATCATTATTCATTTCAAATTTATTGAGTAAATTGTGTTCGTTGTTTACTTAAGCACAATTAGATAATCAAATAGTTAATTTGCTTGATTTTTGGCAAGGATGATCACCCCTAAGAAATGACTCAAAAGACGAACAATTTCAATAATTGAATTGCAATGTTATTAATCAGAGGAATTTCTTTATCGCTCAACTTCTTTCTTTATTCTAATGTTCTTTGCTCATGGCACTTTGATGTTAATTCAATCCTTCTCTCAGCTAATAATTTCTTTATTCTTAGCATTGTCCCTAATCCAATCTTGTACCCTAAACCCTAAACCATTACGAAATTTTCTTATGTGTATAACTTTTTTATTAAGGGATTTCATTCATTAACGAAACAATATAGCATTGTAAAGAAGACAAAAGATGTACAAACTTGGGCCTATGTAAAAAGAAACTTTTAGCATAAAAAAAAAACTGCCAAAGGAAAAAGAGCGCCTTCCACTTGCCATCGAACACAAAAAACAGCCATTAGCTTCTAAATCTGCAGAAAGCAAAGAACTCAGCCATAATGGCCCCTGTTCTGTGCACTTGACCAACTTTGAGCGACAACAATGGCCTTACTTGTCGCATTTGCTCCCCTACTCAACAACGACTCCGCCAACCCAACTTTATAAATGGTAATGAATATAATGAAGATGAAGGAGATGCTCTACGGGGTGGACTGTATGATTACAGATAAATACAACCTTAAATGACCATTTTGCCCTTCAGACGTCGGTCACACGATTGAAACACACATAAAGTAAATATGCCACAGAAGTGTCCATCTAAATTTCTAAATGGATCGATATCTTTCAAAACAGTATAAACCATTGTCTCTTTTCTAATTTGGTTACGTAAATAAGCCAACATTTTTTATTACAATTTCCATTAAATAAAATTCTTTTTTATTTATTTATATACAAACGATATTATATTTTAATTCATCTAAACTACAGAGAAGAAGATTCGAACTAGTGCACAGTGATGAGTACATATGCTCTAACCAACTTGGCTAAACCCAAGTTTGAAAGTAAAATTCTATTATAATGGGAGAAAGTTTTGGAAGGTGATCATAAACCAGCATTAAGAGGTATCTAATGCAAGTTTATTCTCCTCCAATGATTGCACTAGAAGACGATGACACTCAGAAGCTCTCAGCCTCCTTATATATCCCTAATTATTTATGTATTTAATTTTCTTGGCTAAAGGTGTGTATGGTCTCTTAACTAAGAAAATCAAATAAATAAATAAATAAAGGTGCATGGTGTTAATTCTAAGGGAGATTCCCTTCAAAGGGCCCCCTGGTTTTGCAGCTTTCCTTGTCTGCATGTGTCTTTCATGCATCATATTTATATATGGTTTGATTTTCGAATGAGTTTAATTAGATGGAGAAACCATGAAAGTCACTGTCATGTACGGCCCACGATCCTTGATGTCCAAATTTTTTAAAATCATATGATTGTTTCCGGCCTGCAAATAATGAAAATTAATTGAGAATGTCACTATATATCAATGAAAATATAAATAGTATGTAAAGAATAATATCAGTTAGCTTTAAAAAAAAAAAGTAATAAAAAAATATAAAAAAATAAAAGAAATCTCAATGACACGAGAAATTTATTGAAGAAACAAAGGAGTAACATCGAGACATTTAAAGATGGCATCTAAATTTATATCTTTATCAAGATAATAAAGAAACTATTAATAAAAAGAAAAATCTCTCATATGGGGAAACGATAAGGTAATGATGCGAATATATAATTGTGTATATATATATATATATAATTGAATAAGGAAAATGATAAGATAATGAGTGCTGGGTATTTGAAAAAGAGAGTGCTTTGTAAAGTGATGAAGAAAAGTTTGGTGTCTCTCTTTATCCAGCATGTCACAAGTCATCTGCAGATTTTCTGTGTGTCTTGGTGTCTATGGAGCGATCCGATAGAACATGAATCTTAGTTAGGTACAAAATCATCCCTATTAACTCTAAGGATTAATGATTGTTGTTTTTGTCCTTAAAAAGTTTAAGTTTCAGAAATATACTAAGCAAATTAGGCAAAACAATTTCCTTCTCTGGTAGGAAAGATGTTTAGCCGAATGATAATTCCGTGAAGAATGTGGAAGCATATATGATTAGTTCAGTAATAAGGATGCTGAAGTAGAAAACAACAAAACCCAACATGGCATGTTACAATGAGAAAGTGAAAAACAAATGTAGACTGATCTAAGGCAGATTGTTTGAATTTCACTTTCTTTTTCTTCTTTTTTTCCATTGGATTAACTACATTTTACTCCCTTTAGATTTAGGGTCATTATCGAAATGGGCCTTGAGGTTTTAATTTCATCAATATGAAACCCAACGTTTTTAAGTTTACGTAATCCATCAACTTCACTGTTTGATTTTCTGTTAAATTGGTGACATTGGCTGGTAGGATAGTCACTTTTATGTTGATATATGTGTAAAAGGAAACAATAAAGAAAATGAAAATGGCGTATGTAATTTGACAACAATAATTTAACAGAAAATCAAACGGTGAAGTTGATGAAGTGCGTAATTTGGTAATATTTAAAAACGTTGGATTTTATATTGACGAAATTAAAACTTCAAGGCCCATTCTAATAATGACGCTAACCTGCATGGAATAAAATGTAGTTAATTCTATTTTTTTTTTTTCATACTGACAATATTTTGGAGGGGGATCGAACATACCACGTCCAATACAAGACCATAGTTAGGTTTTTTAAATAAGCATTTGCCTTGCTTTTGATAATAAAAAAAATCAAAGAAATAAATCTTTTGCTTGATTTTTCAGTTTTATTAAGTATTAGAGTTCTTTATTTATTTATTTATTTATTTTTGTTTCAAAGGAAGTAGTAAAGTTGAATCCTTATAATCCCTTGTCTTAAAAAAAAAGGAAAAAAAAAAGTCTGTTTAGCACTTTTTGAAAAACATAATTATTAATAATTTTTTCATAACTAGCTTTTAATCTAATAATACATGTTCTTAAGCATAATAAGTAGGAGGGCAGCCATTTTATTATCCTTCCTAAGGACATGTCGCATGATTCAACTTCCTGAATTTTGAGCCTCTACATTTAGCATCCACACATTTATACACATTTAAAAGAATCTTAACCAGTCGATTAATCTAGTGAATATTAATTATTCCACCTTAGAATAGTTGTATTATATTTAAACTCAAAATTTGCACTGTATCAAAGAACAAAGTGGCACTAAAACGGCAATAAATAATCAATATTTGTTTTGGTAAATAGTAATAATGATATTGATAATGCATGAGCTAGAAAAAGGTTTTTTTTTTTTTTTCAGAGAAAGCAGGAGCCAAAAAAGGCTAGCCTAAAAATTTATTGCGGTTCAATAATTTTCAATATTTTAATAGCAAGCTTTGAGCTTTTCCTTGTATTTCTCTTCATGGTCCTGCAAGTCAAGGAGAGAATGATGCGCAGGAGAGAAGCACGTTTCTATCCCCCTTGAGAATCTGAAAAATATTTTCATGGTTGTATGGTTTGTTGGTCGATATACAATTAGTCTAATTGTGTTTCGACCAAAAAATACATGGTTCATAATATATATGG